TCATTGGGGTGGGGGTGTGGTGGGGGGAGGTGGGTCTGGAACAGGTTGGGCTAAGGGAGGCAGGGACAGGGGATGCAGCACAGGGGGAGAGGTGGGTGTAGGGGTTGGGGAGTGGGGTTGGGGTGTGGAGTCTCTGAGGCAAGAGGTAGGCATTGGGGGATGAGGATGGGAAGCAATACTGACGAGACCAGTGTCTGGGGGAAAGAGGCTGCCAGTTTGGGGAAGTGGTGCCATGGGCCAGTAGAGCAGGGAGGCAGGAGGGAGAGGAAGCTGCAAAGTGGGGAGAGAAGTGCAAAGGAGATCCGCACTCAACCAGCAGTTTATACATTCACTCCCTCACCCATGATTGAGTGGCAGCGCAGTGTGTACTATCGACTTGATGTACTGCAGCAACTGACCAGTGCTCCTCCAGGAACATCATCCAAACCCACGGCCTTTACATTCCACAAGAACAAGGAGTGGAAATTATTCAAGATGGCAGCTCACCACACCTTCTTCAGAATATTAGGGATGGGCAACAAATGGTGACCTTGCCAATGATGCCCAAGTCCTATTAAAGAATAAAATAAAAATTATGCTTTCCTAAATTTGCTTCCATCACCTTTCAAGCAGTGAATTCAAGACTATCAGTTCTAATTCTTCTCATTTCTCCTTTAGGTTCTTTGCCAATTTGCACAAAGCTGTGTCCTCTGTCACCCATGCTGCTACTTGTGAAAGAAGTTTCCTCTATCTGCTTCATCAGAATTGTTCATAACTTTGAACATTTCTATTAAACATCTGCTCTAATTTGGAGAACTTTTTGTTTCTCTCAACATTCCTTTGCCAAAGCAGTATTAAATATTGTGCCCAGCTGGAGTTTCTGAGCTGCATTTTCTGATTCCAGTGTTCCTCCTGGTATCAAGTCGCTTCATTATATTGGCATTAGATTTCTAGATACAGTTTTTGCTGCAAATCCAGAACATCTATTTCCAAATGGCAGCAAAAGCAATGGGAAATAAGTTTAAGAAGCATCAAGAGGTCCAGCTTCCCAATGCTGGTATGCCTCCAGGGCCAGGCTGCCAAGGTGAGCAGCTGCTAATGTTGTTTCCACCTGTTGTCTGGGGTCTGGGATCCTTTAGGCACAGCTCATGCTGTTTTCAAAGCTAACTCCAGCTTGTTTATCCCAATGGCCTATGGGCATGCCTATAGAATTAAAACGCAGTAACCCATGGACTTTGGCGTCTTGGAGTTTGATTTGATACAAGACAGTCTAATATTGCTGTTTGTTGTCATTTTCAGGCCAATGTTTCCCCACTGTTTCCACACTGTAGGGATTCTATGATTCTATGAAATGTACTATATATGGGTATACCAATGCCGTTCTAATTAATCACAGAATTATGAAAATGATACGGTGCAGCTTGAGGCCATTCAGCCCGTCACTGCATGCAGTTCTGTTTGCCCTACCATTAAAGGATACTACTAAACTAGAAAGCGTGCAGGAAAGATTTACTAGAATGCTAGCTGGACTGGAAAGTTTGAGTTATAAGGAGAGGCTGGATAGACTGGCTTTTTCCCTGGAGTGTAGGAAACTGACGGGTGTCATTATAGAGGTCTATAAAATCACAACAGGCATTGATAAGTTAGATAGCCAACAGCTTTTCCCTATGGTAGGGGAATCTAAAACTTGAGAGCGTATGTTTAAGGTGAGATGGGAGAGATACAAAAGGATCCAGAGAAGTAGTCTTTTCCACACAGGGGGTAGTGAGTGTGTGGAACAGGCTGCCAGAGGTAGTGGGTAGAGGCAAATACAATTTTGTCAATCATGAAACATTTAGACAAGTACATGGATGAGATAGGTATAGAGGAATATGGACCAAATGCAGGCAAATGGGACTAGTTTAATTGTGAAAACTGGGCAGCATGGGCAAGTTGGGCTGAATGGCCTGTTTCCATATTGTAGATTTCTGACTCTATGACTGCACTGGCTCTTCAAATGTGCATCATTCCCTACTGTCAGTCTCCTGCTTTTCTCCCATACACTTGCACAATATTTTTATCCTAATAATTACCCTCCTGAATGCCTGTACATTGCTTTATGCGAAAAATCCTAGCCCGCAAGTTCTGCAAACAGCATAGCTTTTGACAGTTTTACTCTTGAACTGAGAATGACAAACAGCGCTTGAGATCACGTCAAGTTGTCGAGTGGGCATTATCCCAAAGGGCATTTCGTTGACAGGTTACATTGTGTGAACACTGCTCCAAGCAGCTGAAAATTACATCATTTGGATCATAAATTTCCAATGCTTGGCTTGTGTGTGTAACAAAACAAAATCATTTTAATGTTTCCCATGCTTTAAAAATTAAAGACACCACTGCTGGGTATATTGCCATTTCACAATTTACTTACAAAACCGAGAGCTTACAAATTGTTTCTCCTGGATAGAGTGTTTCGGATGGATATCCTGGAATACATTTCTCATCTACTGCCTTTATATTCTCCAGTGTGTGTAAGATGATAAACTGACGCTCAGCAAGTGTCAGAAATTCATTGATGTTGTCTGGAAAGAAAACACAAGGAATGAAAGAGTCTGAAAAGTAAGAAATACGATGGAAGCTGAGGTGAATCTTTCCCATTCAATCTATATGTGATACCTGAGTTTTGAAAGTTTCTGCTGTCCCTGTAAGAAAATGAAATCATGGAGCCATCCTTGTAGAGTTTGTAAAGCCCCAGAACCTCAGCTGCCCTCAGTAGAACATGTTGAGATGCAGAAACGAGAAGCATGTCGCCATCATCATCTTCACCAGGGTGGACCATAAGCTCGGCACCTGGACAAAGAGGGAGGAATTGACAATCGGAATCACAGATTGATTCAAATAAACTTGGCCTAGCTGATCTCATTCCTCTGGAACATCGACCCTCACCAGTTTCCAGTGTAGCGTCTTGATCAGCTAGGTCTGTGAATAAACAAACAGTAGTAGGAATGATATTATTAAATTAGAGAGGGTGCAGAAAAGATTTACAAGGATGTTACCGAGGGTTACTGGAGGGTTTGAGTTATAAGGATAGGGTGGGACTTTTCTCACTTGTGCATAGGAAGTTGAGGAGTGACCTTATAAAGTTTTATAAAATCGTGAGGGGCTTAGATAAGGTGAATAACAAAGGTCCTTTCCAAAGAGTAGGGGAGTTCAAAACTAGAGGGCATAATTTTAAGGTAAGAGGAGAAAAATTTAAAGGGATGCGAGGGGCAATGATTCACACAGAGGGTGAATAAGTATGTGGAATGAACAGTCAGAGGAGGTGATGGATGCGGATGCAGATCCAGTTACAACATTTAAAAGACATTTGTACTGGTACCTGAATAGGAAGGGTTTAGAGGGATATGGGCCAAACACAGGCAAACAGGACTGGTTTAATTCAGGAAATCTGGTTGGCATGGATAAGTTGGACCAAAGGTCTGTTTCCATGCTGTATGGCTCTATGACTCTATGATCCTATAACTGAAGGCAAAAAATGAAGAGGCAAAGTGAAGCAAGAGTGAAACAAAGGGCCATTGATATACATACATCCATAAAGCATGTCCAGAGGGTAAGAGAGGAGAAAGTAGTGATTGGGAGACTGAAAGAGGAAATTGAGGGCTCAGAACAGGAACCAAAGTGAGTCAATCAGACATTGAGAAGAACAAAAGTGATACATAGCTAGAGTGAAGACAGAAAATGGGCAACGTGAGTGGATAGATTGTGAGAAATTTTTAAATGAAATTCGTGGTAGAGAAAAACTGCAGAAGTAAAAAACTGAACAAATTAAAGGGGATATTTCGAAGAGGAAAGCAAAGTTTTCTAAAGGAAAAACAATCCAGAGTCACAGTTCATGAAAGGAGAGTGAAAAACGTAAGAAGAGAATCAGATTGAAGCCCCAAAGGGAAAGAATAAATGTATAACAAATGTCTAGATAAAGACCATGATATTGACCATAAGAGAAGGTCAAGGAACAGGTGAAAGTTAAAATTCTGCAAGGAAAAAGGATGAATAAAATGCAATATTATGATTCAGAAATTTGGCAGCACTAGGCTTCCTATACTGCACCAAACTGTCACATGTGGAGGGAGACCCACTTATATTGGGTTTCCGCTGTTTGTGCAAGTTACTAAAGAGATTTGCAAGGTTCAGAATCTCTATCCATTCCTTACAAAATGAATGCTTAGTGTTTCCATCTCAAATTGAGGTTTCTAAGCCTAACTATGGTAGGGGACCCAGTGAAATAGTGAAGGTTAGTATGCTGAGCCTGGTCAAAGAGTGGAAATCACTGTCAGAAATGAGCCCTAAATTGATGATGAGGAATATCTAACAATTACACAGGGTTGGCTGAAGCAATGTCAGGGCTGTTGAAGTGGGTGAATACCAAACATATACCCAAAACAGCAGCTGCATCTGTACAGCAGGCCAAGCAGCATCAGAGGAGCAGGAAGGCTGAC